ATGGCTTTATTGACTGTGACAAGGAATTTTTCAATATCTTTTTAAAGTTCGACTAAAAGGTGAAGCACTGTTAGTGCTATTTGGGGTTTATGGGGATTTGAAACTATTTTTCATGAGGAGCATTATGGGCAACAAAATTTTTAGACCGTCAGCTTCAGTTCATCAACAGCGATTTGTTACGGTTACCTGGGGAGTCTGCTTATGCGTATCTCAGCCGTCTTCGCTCACTTGCCCTTCCTATGCTATCGCAGTCTATAATTGAACGTATTGGTTATTTGGCTGAACACTGTCGTTTTCGATCTCAGGTTTATGTTTCCTCTTTGTTTCGAATAAAAGTGGTAGGGTAGTTTTTTTCTATGAGAAGATCTTTCGTGTTTTATCTCAAATTGTTTTTTAGGTATTATTTCAGTAATTTGATAATATATAGGGTTTTTAGCCCTTTGGTGAGGAACAGCTCAATGAGTTGAGAGAACTCATCATGGACGTAGTTAGAGTGTAAGTTTTCATAGGATTTCCGTATTTGCTGTACTAAAATTTATACTTCTAGTTATTTTCAGGCTAAACCATGAACAAGAACGTCTTTCTGCGTTGAAGCTACAAAGTCGTAGTGGCACTTTTGAAGCTCCCACAATGTCTTCTGAGGATTCCGGAAGGAGGTATTGAAAGACCGTTATCTCTCAGTTTTTTTAAACCCTCTTCGACCTGTTACAAATTGTAATTCAGTGCTCATAGTTCTGAAGCTCTCGTTAACTTGCTTACCGCTCTAATCAAGTCATTCATGCCAGAGCAATTGTTTCTTAACATCTGAAGCCTTTTTAAATGCATGAATCTTCTCAGATTTCAGGAAAATTTCATTTGGTGAGCGGTCTTTTTTGATGTATTTTTCTAGAAGGTCTTGTTAAACACGTTTGTTTTTCTTTTTCTGTAACTCTCCTTTGATTCCATTGGGGCAGCTTGCATGCAGCGTTATCACAGTTTTGATTTACATAAAGCTTATTAATTAAAACCAACAGTTTTCCAGCTGAATACCTAGCGCTGCATTAATTAATGTCTGGCGTTTAACTCTCTAGCAGAGGACCTAATTTTCAAACTTTTTTTACGTTATACGGTTTGCACTAACGTCCCGGGGCTTTGAATTTTGCTCTATAACTCAATGAATAATCAGTGAAACAACTTTTGATTCTAGCATTTTTGCGGCCGAATTGCAAAAGTTACGGATGGGGCACTTCATGCACCGAAAGAACAGTAGATCCAGAGAGCACTTCAAGAAGGTATGATAATCAAGTTAGGCTAGATTATTTTTTATTTGACCCTCCTAAATTTTAAGACAAGCACTAGTAATTTGTGATAAGCTACGAAGTTTTGCAGTTTTCTGGGGCCATTTTTATAGATCGTTTGGCCCAAAAGGCCCTGTCTTTGCAGTTTTAACTGTTTAGCTATGTTATTCTTCTGCATAATGCGACTCCTTCATTCACATTCTTTGACGTCTTATTTTTTCCTTTAGAAGTGTTTATTACATTATTTGCAGAGAAAAGGAGAGACAATAGAGCACGCTGAGGCTGCAATACCTCTTCTGGATCTAAATCATTGAAAGTTTTTTGTTTTTGCGGGAAATTAAACTGGATTTTGGGAGTCATTATCGAATATCAAAATATTTTGTGAAAGCTTTATTTTCTTTCATTATGCAGCTTTCTGCTTCTGTTGAAGGCATGTAAAATATTTCAAGAACTTTTTGGTATTTTGCATTTTATACTTTATATGGGCGTATACTGATGCCAAGGCAAAGTACCACTGTTAGTTTCGTCTCCGACGTTTATTGAATTGCTTACTTGTTAGAGTAAATGTTAGTGTATCTCACCTTTTCAAATAAATAAGAGTTATTCGTTTACTGGAATGTGCATAAATTAATATATTTTTATGTATATACGTGTATATGCATATTTCGTTGCTCTATTGTATTTGAAAACTAAATTTTTTTTGGTGTTCATTTTTTGCTTAATGAATACCTTGTGTTAATGCTGTTGACTGGGAATTTGGAATTTATATTGCTTCAATAGGAACGGATACTGGTGCAGAATGTTTGCTTAGAAAATATTGCAACTCTGGAGAGCGTTCAGTATAAATTATCAATCTGTCAGGGTGTTAGAGGGTTTTAGTAAATTTTTTCAAAGTTTAGTGTTCCTTTAATTGGTTTTTAAGCCAGGGATTTTGACTGTAAATTCCCAGTAGTTTTCCTAAAATATTGACGAGAAGAATAATCTTTTTTTTTTCAGCGGCAACTTCTTTCAAACCTTTTCATTAATTGACAATTGCTTTTTGTCTGTATACCTTTGATGCATCATAGAAGAGATGATCTTGTTTTTGCTTATTTTGGTAATAAAATTTGACTGGACAATTAGTGATGGTTCCTAATGGCTCTACTGATCCGGCCACGAAGTCATTTGCTGTGGTATATCGCTAATGGCCTTTTAATAGTCGGAAGATGTTGTTTCTTACTTTTTTTGATGATCATTGAATTCTGAACAAGTTTGAAGTTTTTCCTGTATCATTCAGATGTTTCTGAAAATTAACAATGGTTTGTAGACGGCAGTGGCTATTGTCACTCAAAGTGATGTTTCACAATTTGAGGCATTTTTGTAACTGCTTTCATTAAGTTCTGGTTTTGATATTTTACTTGTATATAGGTTTATTCATAAGAATTTTATTTCTTCAACAGTCGGGAGTTAAATTGATATTTGCTGAGATTAAATCAAGTTGTACACATATCTCAGATACAGGAGGAGGTATGAATGTGTCTGATTTTTGTTTGTCACTTTAATTTGTCAAATTGTCGAAGTTTTATATTTTGACCCGAAGTTTCTTTTTGTGCATACGGAAGTTCATTTGTTAGCAAAGATTTAGTTGTCATATGAATTTTAAATGATTGTTGTTAGGTTTCTTGAAGGGTGTGTCTATCTAGATTTATGGTGGTCTTACTTTTGCGTTGAAAAGTTGGTGAAAGGTTGTTTCAAGAGTTGTGCGGTAGACGATTAGCGAACAGTATTAAAAGGGGTGAATAATAAAATAATAATTATTGATATAATTTATGTTCCTTGTGTCAATTTGATGGGAGGAACTTTGCTTGTGGTAATATTTTTCGCTTATTAAATTGATCCTTATTTATAGTGGGAATGTTGGGTTCTCCCTTATGACTTATTGGGCTTGTTCAAGGGTTTTTTTATCCTTAATTGTAGCACATATTTTTACGCAGTAATATTTTATATAAGTAACGTTTTTTTTTTCAGCTATATTTTTACTTTTATTGGCTAATAGCTATAATTTGATAATAAGTTTTTTTTTTTTAGTACTGATGGAACAGTTTTATAGAGTGTCTGTAGGTTTAACAGTTCATGCAGTTTTACAAATGAATTTTTTTAACATCTTTTCTCTACAATGAATCTTTCATTCAAAGAAGCGTCGAAGAGATGAGAGTAAACGGTGGACTGGCAGAAGGGTGCCAGAATAATTAATTTAGTCTAGTTAAAATATCTTAGCTAATTTTGTTGTTCTTTTCCATCGTCGTTTTTGTAACTTTACTGTTGATCTTTTTTTTTTTTTCGCAAGCATTTGCGACAGAAAATTTTTCTGTTGAATGAATTAATTGAAGTGGCTATCTCTTTTTTATTTTATTGTTTAGTTATTTTTCTATTACTTTTGTTATCTGTTATTTTTCTTGGTAAAATTTAGCAGTAATTGTTTGCAATAGCTTAAGTTATATCATTCCTGCAACACATCACAGGAATGAACGATAATGTGTATTCCTTTTGATTGCAAATAAACTGAAAATTTTTTGCGATGCTGTATTTTCAGCAATATTTTGTGATCTGAACAATTGTAGCGTGAATTGATTTCTTCTAAATGCAACCAGAAAATGGATCTGTCTAGTGATACTTAAGGTAAATATCTATGTTTAAAATTTACTTTTGCCTTACCCATTGCATTCACATCAAGTTATGGATACGTTCATTCTCCTGCTTTTTTGTTTTATTTTATTACGAACAAATGTAGGCTGTCTAATAAATTAGGGGGTTATTTTTTTTTTTGCTACTTGTATTACGGGTAGTTTCTTACAGAAATGGAACTGTCTGTTGTATTTTGGGAATATATCTGCACCGTGAAATTGGCATCGTGAATTCCTTCACTAATTGTAAGCTGTAATTCAGAGAAATGACATTTGATTCAGTTGGTATTAGTAGTCAATAGTTGCACAGAATTTTAAAACCGCTTTTTCAAATTTTTGTAACTTTTTATTTTACTAGAGCTGCTGCAGTAGTTAGACGCTTGGCAGTAATATGAGACTTAAATTTTCAAATTTTTTACGGGAGAGAAGTTGTGTATACAGTTATAACGTCCCGGAATCGTCTTAATAAACGTTAAAATTTGGAGAGGAAAACTAAGATGTGAATGAGCTTTAGAACAGATGTAGAGGAATATACCGAGAATGTTTAAGAACCATCAAATATACGTGATATTTTGATATGGCTACTGCTAAACAGTAACTCTTAATTTCGTAATTATTAAATATAGGTTGTCTAAAAGTTCTTTATCAACGTCTCATTTCATGTTATCATTTAGCGTTACTTAAAAAGTTTATTTTACTCTTTCAGAGTCATTTTCGCAAAAAAGTTTCACCAGTAGAAGTGAAAAGCAGTTGCAGTTTCAAATACAATATTGAAGATTTCGAAGATAATGCATTGAACGTTTGTCAAGGTTTCTATCTCATTTCTAAGAAGTTAGTACTTATAGTATTTTTTTATTTTACTTTCTAAATTAATTATGTTTTCACTGCCGCTGCTATTGCAACGGAAGAAAAAAATTTAGTACATTTCTTTATAAACTTTTTGCTGCAAATGGCTCTCTTGTTTATGGAAAATACCCAAGTTTTTATTTAATTTATTGTTTGTTTGCATTAATTGGTACTTTAAATAGTGAAGCACTTTACTTTTAATTTTCAATTAGTTCTGCTGGACCACTATTATTGAAATTATTGCTCTTTGTCACAAAAACAGCAACTCTTTTAGTTTTTTCGGTGAAATCAACGGAAGAAATTTTTGACTGTAAAAGTAAACTTTAGGATTCGGATACTAGACGAGTAGCGGCCGTAAAATTACAGCAACTCAAAAGGCTGACTTTAGAGTTTACATGAAATTTCAGAACTGTAGTTTGGTAAGTCATTAGTGGCGATTAAAATGAATAATGACAGAAAATGGGTTGGTCAGGAAAAAGCAGTATTAAGCAATTTCTTCAATTCACTCACAAATTCTTGATTAGCTGCTAAGCCCATTTTCAATTGACCGGAAAAACTGATATTTTTCAGTGCTTTTTCATGACCAGCTAGTATAGAAAATTCAGACATTTGTTTCGTCACTGCATGGAAACTTTTGATTTACTTAATTGTTTTTTCTGGAACTATTAGTCGGTTTAATTCTATTGAGGTAGTATGTGTGAAGCAAAAGTTATTTATTTGGTCGTCAAAAAAAAAAAGTTATAATGGTAGCAGACTAAAAAAATTATAAGTTTCTCGATAGTAAACCAGAACTTTTTGCTGACTTTAGGCTAACCATCGTTTTAGACGTGTACTGGTTCGTTTTAAACTTTATTTTCGTCTTTTTTAAAAAAATTTA